TTGTATATGTCTATCTCAAACCCGGAGAAAAATCAATATCGCAAATATGGATCAATAAACAAAGAAACATACATATAGTGATATCAAAGTTTTACTTTCTACACAAACAATGTACATATTAAATGTGTCGTAATATTTCAAGACTGGCTGGTTCCTTTGTCAACTGATGTCTGAAGATACTGAAGATATATACCTAAAGTGTTTCGTTCCTAAACCAAAATCCTCTTTGATAAGTCCTTGGAAGCTGATCGATACAAAAACTGATATGCAGTTTCACTTTTGATATGTACTGTAAATCAACATCTGGTCTTTAACCTGTTTGATGATCATAACCTAGATCCCCCACAGGGAGGGGTTTATCCCATACAAGGAATGCCATTTACTCTTCAACAGACTCCTCTGTGAAGTTGATGAGTTGTGGTATGACTTATGTTTCTTGAGCCCTTAACTAGCTGATAAACCAAGCTGGCAGTCATCGATAGAGGTTTACATCAGTACTCCCAATAGATCTTTATGGTACAGTGTACCAGTGTGACAGCTAGTGATGTCAGAGTGATAGCAATGATAGAGGTTTACAACAGTACTCCCAATAGATCTTTATGGTACAGTGAACCAGTGTGACAGCTAGTGATGTCAGAAGTGTTAGCAATGATAGAGGTTTACAACAGTACTCTCAATAGATCTTTATTGTACAGTGTACCAGTGTGACAGCTAGTGATGTCAGAAGTGTTAGCAATGATAGAAGTTTACAACAGTACTCTCAATAGATCCTTCTTGTACAGTGTACCAGTGTGTTAGCGAGTGATGTCAGAGTGTTAGCATTAATAGAGGTATACAACAGTACTCTCAATAGATCTTTATGGTACAGTGTACCAGTGTGATAGCTAGTGATGTCAGAAGTCCTAGCAATGATAGAGGTTCACAACAGTACTCCCAATAGATCTTTATGGTACAGTGAACCAGTGTGACAGCCAGTGATGTCAGAAGTGTTAGCAATGATAGAGATTTACAACAGTACTCCTAATAGATCTTTATGGTACAGTGAACCAGGGTGACAGCTAGTGATGTTAGAAGTGTTAGCAATGATAGAGGTTTACATCAGTACTCCCAATAGATCTTTATGGTACAGCGTAGCAGTGTGTTAGCTAGTGCATGATGTCAGAAGTGTTAGCAATGATAGAAGTTTACAACAGTACTCCCAATAGATCTTTATTGTATAGTTTACCAGAGTGACAGCTAGTGATGTCAGAAGTGTTAGCAATGATAGAGGTTTAAAACAGTACTCCCAATAGATCTTTATGGTACAGTGTACCAGTGTGTTAACTAGTGATGTCAGAGTGTTAGCAATGATAGAGGTTTAAAACAGTACTCCCAATAGATCTTAATGGTACAGTGTACCAATGACAGCTAGTGATGTCAGAGTGATAGCAATGATAGAGGTTTACAACAGTACTCCCAATAGATCTTAATGGTACAGTGTACCAGTGACAGCTAGTGATGTCAGAGTGTTAGCAATGATAGAGGTTTACAACAGTACTTCCAATAGATCTTTATGGTACAGTGTACCAGTGTGTTAACTAGTGATGTCAGAGTGTTAGCAATGATAGAGGTTTACAACAGTACTTCCAATAGATCTTTATTGTACAGTGTACCAGTGTGTTAGCTAGTCATGTCAGAGTGTTAGCAATGATAGTGGTTTACATCAGTACTCCCAATAGATCTTTATGGTACAGTGTACCAGTGTGACAGCTAGTGATGTCAGAGTGTTAGCAATGATAGAGGTTTACAACAGTACTCCCAATAGATCTTTATGGTACAGTGTACCAGTGTGACAGCTAGTGATGTCAGAGTGTTAGCAATGATAGAGGTTTACAACAGTACTCCCAATAGATCTTTATGGTACAGTGTACCAGTGTGACAGCTAGTGATGTCAGAGTGATAGCAATGATAGAGGTTTACAACAGTACTCCCAATAGATCTTTATGGTACAGTGTACCAGTGTGACAGCTAGTGATGTCAGAGTGTTAGCAATAGTATTGAGGTCAAAGTAAACACAGTGTGACCTTTGGGTTTATACTGTGACTGATTTTGTCAATTAAGAAATGGCCACAAACTGCCAGGAGAATATCTATCAACCATAAGCATAGTCCAGCAAATCCCTCCCACAATCATTATCCCTAATTTGGGTTTGAAATGGCATTATATAGCAAATATGTTTTCAACTTATCTTTTGGAGTAAATTTAACAACAGTTATGACTTCATTTTAAAGAAATAACAATAAAAAGTGTTTTCTCCATATTAAGATTGTTTAGCAGGAAAACTTTAAAAAAATTACAAAATAATTTCAAAATATAATCAAATCTGTTTAACTGCTGCTCTATCTCCATTTTCTACTGATCTCAAATACACTGAAATTCTATTAATACCATTGTGATGCATTGCCATATTCCCTGAATTACTGCAGTATGAACATTCTTAGTAAAATAGTGACCCACCCTTAATGTTAAGCTAAGAATGAAGTACCGATAGTTTAATTGTTATTTTAAGAGAATTACAGCCAGGAAACTGTGTGCTGTCACGCTAACCTGTGTTGTATAATCTGACTCGTTACACAGAGCCTCACAGAACACAGTACACAAACTCCATTAGGTACACATAGCATCCTACCTTTGTGTTCCTTGTCATACCTGGAGACAACAGCTCAAGGTATCACAGTACTGTCAGAGTTACCTCCCTTCTACACAAAACTATATTACATCAAGGTCTCTTCTGATGCCATGAAAATAACTTTGAAAGGAATGTTTCATCAAATCAAAGAATTGTTTTTTAATAACAGGACAAAAATAAATACATTTGTACTTCAAAAATGTTTTTGGTGTGTTTGGTGTCAAGATACAGATCACATAAACATTAATAACATGTATTTATAATATAAAGTTAGCACAGTCAACCAATACAGATTTACCTGTACCCTGACAAATATCAATAAAAAACATGAAAAACAATACTCTCTTATTGAATCGCACCAGTGACCCAAGAAGATGGTGTAAGAACAACATGCACTGAACAGAAGATGTGGAGGCAGATGTGAATTCCCCGAACACTTACTGATACGAGTATATGGGCATATCCATTCCCGTCTAACGGGAACATTAAATTATCTCAATTTGTGATAAATTTCCTACAAGAGGGATTATCCAGTGCTTTCACATGATGTCAGAAATTACCCGACAAGATCTTTCCCTGCCAAAGTCCTGTTATTTTGAAAATTGATGAATAATAGCAATTCTGTTTAGTGACTAAGGAATGGACTGTTGCCTGTTTCTGTATTGACTGGTCTGACTTCCCCCGAGGTCTGTGAACGGTGTTGGCCACGATCATGCAACATGTGCGTCTACCCCGTGGGAATTTCTGTACAGATGTCTTGTGTAAAGTAAGAACCATAATAAAGTCATGTTGGAAATTATTCTCAATCGCACGCTTGTTAAATAATCAATACATAAAAAGTCCACTCGATTGGCACATAGTCTGTGTAACTTTTTCCAAGTTACAATCTCAACTTGTGTAATTATATATAATCTTCTAAAATTATATAGATTCAGAAATTTAGCTTGTAAAAAATCATGGGCATCCTAAGGAAGGGGTCAAACAAGTACTTCTTTATATTCCAAAATTTAGTCATACATGCAAGAACTATTTTTTTCAAGATGCCGGTCTGTCCTACATGTCTAAGAAGGGATCATTATTCTACATTTATTGTCCGTAATACTTAAGAGATTTGGGATTCCTTAAAGCAAGGGCAATAACAATTTTATTATGCCGAAAAAAAATCAATCAACAATAAGAACCCAATAGTAGAGACGATGAGGATGATGCGCCATTTTTGTTGTCTGCTTCCGTCATTTGGAACTAGGTTGTGGTGGCTCTTGTGCATTTTCTAGAGCGTGTGAGGGTAACATGATGATCCATTGACACTTGAAGGTACACAGGTTTTGTAATACATAAACGTCAGTCTGGATGCCAATCATGGCCGAAGCTCCGGTCTTCCCAGACTGGTAGTTATATAGATGGTGTGTGACATAACAACTGTCCTAGGCTCATGGACCCGACATTAAAGTCAACTACAGCTATCATGTCTCAAAGACTACATGCAACCCACCCAAGGACAAATAAGGTCAAAAAGGGTCAGAGGTCACATACAATCTGACTAAGTAGTTTTGTTTTACAAGGTCAGCACCACCTTTGTACAGATCAGAGAGAATTGGGTGATGCCTTTGTTTGACAGTTGTGTGTGTATAGGTGATACAGTAACAGACTTGTCCAACCTTATGGCAGTTGAACAGACTTCAAGGTTATAAATGTTTGTCATGGGAACTACAAAACTGACTGCAGCCATGCCTGTGAAAGCAGCCTAAACATGACAAAAGGTTTAAATTGTAATCAATTTTACAGATATCTTCGTCAGCTCTTTACTCACATAGCAGACTTTTCCAGAAGTTACATTATTCTGTCTAAACCAGACTTATAAACTAACGTCTCATGGAAATTATTGATGATTGTGAAAAGACATAAAAGCCTTATGTTTATGGCCCTGTCAAGGCTCCATCAAAGCCTTGTTATCATGTTGTGTTATCATCTTCTGTGCGATATTCAGAAGAACACTTTTTCCCCTTTCTTCTTCAGCTATGTAATTGATCTGACAGATTTAGTTATGAATATTACATACTGGAAAACTTTCGTTCAGTCAAATATTTACCCTTCACCGGTAAAATTCATATCACTTAATGTTACTTAATATTCACTGTCATGATAAATTTACCCTACTTACAGGAGGCAAAAAATAACTGCTTAATTGTGGCAAAAAAATCAAGCATACAGAATCACCTTAACCCCAAACAAACATTTTACACAAACAATGTACGTACTAAACATGTGTAACAAATACTACAACTGAGAAAAAAAAGATACCAATGTACGAAACAAGGAAACAGCGACCTACTTTTTGTTCTGCAGTTTCAGCTCGATTGTCTGCATCTGTTTTCTTTTCCTCTAAATCTTTCATCTGAAAAACAAAAAGTAAAACTTGAAAAAAAATCATCTAAATCTTTCCATCTGAAAAACGCCACATAAATCTTTATATTCCATCTGAAAAATAGAAAATACACTTTTATTAAATTTTCTTCTAAATCTTTCATCCGAAAAACTGAACATAAACTTGTATTAACTTAAATGGGTTTTAATACCTACAAATAAGACATGTGACAAAGAATAAAACACAGAAATCAATAGCACGGCATCGCTATGGTAAATCCTGTAACTATATCCAGATAAAATGTTTACTCAAGTTTTGCCAATACACGCTGTACCCTAAGGATTCCCTATATCCCTGAAACTAGGCTGTACTACTAAATTTTGAAATGAAACAAATCACCAATTTACTGAGATATACAGAAAAATTATTTTGGATTATATCTTATCCTTGGTCTAACCGAGAGCAAAGCAATAGGCTGAAAAGGACCAAACTAGAGCCAGGCAGCTGTTCACCAGTTAACCAGGGTAAGCCTGTGTTATACTATAGAGCTAGGAGAGGCTTCAGTAGGTACAGTGTTATATAGAGCTAGGAGAGGCTTCAGTAGGTACAGTATTATATAGAGCTAGGAGAGGCTTCAGTAGGTACAGTGTTATATAGAGCTAGGAGAGGCTTCAGTAGGTACAGTGTTATATAGAGCTAGGAGAGGCTTCAGTAGGTACAGTGTTATATAGAGCTAGGAGAGGCTTCAGTAGGTACAGTGTTATATAGAGCTAGGAGAGGCTTCAGTAGGTACAGTGTTATATAGAGCTAGGAGAGGCTTCAGTAGGTACAGTGTTATATAGAGCTAGGAGAGGCTTCAGTAGGTACAGTGTTATATAGAGCTAGGAGAGGCTTCAGTAGGTACAGTGTTATATAGAGCTAGGAGAGGCTTCAGTAGGTACAGTGTTATATAGAGCTAGGAGAGGCTTCAGTAGGTACAGTGTTATATAGAGCTAGGAGAGGCTTCAGTAGGTACAGTGTTATATAGAGCTAGGAGAGGCTTCAGTAGGTACAGTGTTATATAGAGCTAGGAGAGGCTTCAGTAGGTACAGTGTTATATAGAGCTAGGAGAGGCTTCAGTAGGTACAGTGTTATATAGAGCTAGGAGAGGTTTCAGTAGGTATAGTGTTATATAGAGCTAGGAGAGGCTTCAGTAGGTACAGTGTTATATCAAAGGTCTATCAGGTGGCCCAGTCAAGTTCCTAATCAAATCACTTGTTCCAGTGACAGTTTGATCAGCTACTGACCTTCATATTCCATGTCTGCTAGCTATCAGTAATTTCTTCTAGTAAAGAAATGTATCATAAACGTACATGTACGGTGTGAGATGGACATTCTGATAGATTATACAGACGTAAATCAACATCATTTTTCCTCAGCAATCTAATTTCACTATTACTTTGTTCGGCAAACACGAGTATCATCCCCTATATGTACGATAATAAATTGGGTATCTTTATTGGGGAATCGCTTACGAAACATTTTCTATATGTCACAACGTTAAATTGGTTAATAATTGATAAGCACTAAAAACGTCCTTCCCTAATGTCAAGGTCATAACCATATAGACATGCATCTCACAGCTCTACAAACTGCCAGCACAGGAAACGTTTATGAAATAATCTACATTTGTGGAGCAAACACCTTTGCATTATTCAACAGTAAAGAAATTGGACTTTGAAATTGGTATATGCTTTTCCCCTTGAGAATACTACATACAAAGCAGGCATCAAATAAATAGAATTGCTGAATCATGATTTTAAAAGCATCAGAAATTCTGTAAAAATAAAAGGTTCTTTCAGAGTCATGCAAAATTCAATTATATTTTAAGAGAGGAGTTATTTTAAAAGATTCTTAATGAAATAAACTGCAACTATAGCTTCAATGACGCCACAACGGAAAACATTGGTAAGTTATTCAAAACTGAGCAAACCTCTAGTCACATTCCTGGTTTTTCAAAATATAAAACTTTGTAAATTTTCATCATTTAAAAAAGAATTTATCTACATGGCAATTATAATTCAGCACATTTTTACTGTTCTGTAAATAGTGCTATAAGGACATGTGTATAATGATATGCAACTTGTTTTGGTAGATACATATCTCTAAATAGGACTACAAAACAATGGCCCTAAAAATTGATACGGTCAGTAACTTTGCGGCATGCCTCTATTGTCTATATTATGAACTTCCTGGTACATCCTGCCAAAATACATCCTTTTTTAAACAGATGCATTCAAATTTAAAATATATCCTATTAGAAGCTACATGTAAAGCTGATTAACAATTGGGCTCTACAAAAGTTTTAAAATATCAAGTTTTTGAATTTATGAATAAAAGTAAAGTGTGATTGTTCCAAAACCATACCTGTGCCCGACAGACAACGTGGAATCTCAACAAACCTGGGAGACTTTGATTTCCATGGTAACCCGTATACATGTTATGACATCGCAGTAAGTATGTACGCACAGTGGACTCTATAATGTCCGGGTACAGTTTACTGAGAATAAGGTGTGGGACTTTTATTATGCTGACTCTATCAAACAGTTGACTCACAAAACATTTCTGTGGTTATACACAGCGACACATCACCACAGAATATCTTCACAAAACAGTCGTCATTTTTCAATAAAGTTAAAAAAAAAAAGAAAAGAAGCCAGACATTTAACATTGTATGCATATTTGTTTCCCTTAAGAACATAAGAATAGCTTTGTTTTAATTCCTGTCTGTGTTAATCAGTACTTGTCTGTACTACCTAGTAACAATAGTATACCTGTATATTCTCCTTGTCTATTGTGTAAGTATAAATGTATTCCCACAGCTAGTAAGATGTCTAATCTATCACAATTCATCTTATGTTTACACCAGAAAATGTCCGTTTGAGTCAGGGGTGAAAATATAGCATAAAATGAAGTCAAATTATTGACCATACCTGTCTTGTTAAGTTGATGGCCTTCAGTAATCATTCTATAGTATCCTTTGGTATGATATATTAATTGAGTAATAAATTAGAAAATGTGATTGAAAATATCCTTAGTAATAAGAGCTTAGTATACAGTAACTGTCATGACTGTTCTCAATGGCGTTATAGCCCTTGGATACCAGCTTAGGAAATAGGTACTACAGCACATTCATAATATCTTTTGCAGAGTTATGGCCCTTTGATAATAGTTTAGAAATTAGGCATATATTTAAATTCAAGACAGGCTAGTATGGCAAATGTGTACTTGTGTGTTTGTGTTTTTATTTAGGATATGAAGTGGTGAGATTCAGACTCCTATTATCCTATGGCAGAGCTATAGCCTTTGGATAATACTTACAGAAAAGGTGTAACATTCACAATATCTTTTGACAGTGGTTATTGTCCTAGGATAGTAGCTTAGGAAATACATGTAGCATTCCCACTATTATTTGGTAGGAGTTATTGCCCTTGCACAATAGTTTAGGAAATGGCTTTAACATGTATAGTCATGCTATCCCTTGGTACAAGTCAATGCCCTTGGTAGTTTATAGACAAGCTAGCATATTCATACTATCAAGACAAAATGTTTTAAGCACTTTCTTCACCTCTGATTTCTAGTTTGATCCATATTTATATTATGACCATATTGCTGTATCCTCCATGTTATCAAGTTCCTGTACTAGAAAGATTACAATCTTTGCAATGTTGTCTGTAAATTACTATACATGTATATGCTTCTTGATTTCATATTTAAGTATTAATAATATAATTACACTGTGTCCATGTACAATTAATTAATATACATTTTACAGCAACATGTTTGGCTGTAATTATGCTAGAATTGTATTGCAATGTTGCCTTTGATTATACCTGAATTTATATTCATATTTAATGCTATTACTGTATATATTATTGCCGTAGATTGTAGAGAAGGCCTCAAGGGAGAATAGTTTTGTAACTAATTGAGCTACCTTCTATAAATAAAGCATTATTATTATTATTAGTATCATTTGGTAGGTATTATGGTTAGATTTATGATCTATCCCTTGGTAGGTCAGTTAGGACCCTGGAGTCTTTGGTAGGTCAGTTAGGACCCGTGAGTCTTTGGATATTGTTGGTAGTTACAACCCCTCAGGTGATGGTTAATACAAGGAAACAAGCATACTTAGTATTGCCTAGCAATACATGTCCCCTACCATTCCCCGCCAGTTATTACACTGTAATGATTCATAAAAATGGTGCCCTTTGGTGTTAATTTGGGAAAATGAAAAGTATACAATTAGCTTGTAACTGATTTTAATGTAATAACAATAAAAGAAATTGTAATGTTAGTGTTATGCCAGAGGAATTATATCGAACAAGAATTTTCTAAAAATAGTAACGGTGACCTTGACCTTGACCCACCAACCCTGAAACTCAAACTTGTCCGAGATATTATGGTCCTTTGTAATTGTGTGAAGTTTGAGCCAAATCCCTCAAGGAATAAAGCTGCTAGAGCGCTGACAAGGATTTTGTAAAAATAGTAACGATGACCTTGACCTTGACCCGTCAACCCTGAAACTTGAATTGTCCAAAATATTTTGGTCCTTTGTAATTGTGTGAAGTTTGAGCCAAATCCCTCAAGTAATGAAGCCACTAGAGAGCTGACAAGGAATTTCTAAAAATAGTAACATTGACCTTGACCTTAACCTAACAACCCTGAAATTCGAACTTGTTCGAGATAGGATGGTCCTTTATATTTGTGTGAAGTTTGATTAAAATCCCTCAAGGAATCTAACTGCCCAAGTGCTGACAAACATTGGTGTTACCGGTAGGGGACTCNAGTATAATGTTATACCCGTAGGGGACTTATAAGTATAATGTTATGCTGTCCTTAGGAGTAATGTCCCTAATTAAACATTAGCTGAGGAAATAAGTACAATGTTCTAAATTCCTCTGGTAAAATCACCACAGAAGTTAAGGAGATCATTAAAAATGATGGCTGATCATGAGATGGTCTCTGTTTCAAAAATGTTTAAGGTGGCTCCA